TGACTACCTGAATAGTTGAGTGGATCATCAATAAGTATTTCTTGTTGGGCACCTACTTTGCGTATGACTTAACCATTCAACACTGTAAAAAGAATATTGTTCTTCGAGCCAGCCGAGAGAGGAACCAGTTGGCTCCAGAGGTTGTGTCCTGCCTTGGACAGAAGGAAATAGAATGTGGCAGACGGAGATGAACCTTAACCTTTGCCTTATCAGGACCAGAGAGAGGGGTGGGGTCCTTATGATGGGTCATTTACAGTGTACGCCACAGCTCTGATAAAACCTGAGAGCTGTATTCCATGTCCTTGTTTAATGACTTTTCTGAAGCAACCAATTAGGCTACAGTAACTGTGAGGAAGTTCCCTCTCCTGGCAAGTGGACAGAGTCTAACAAGACTGTTTTCCTGGGTTATGTTGCTGGCTGGGAATTATTGCATTGGTGGCTTGCAAGGCAAGCTAAAGAAACAAAGGACAACTACGAGCTTACATTATCTGTATGTCTCAATAGGGATGACTGCGATGTCTCTAGAAAATCAGTGTATGATAAGAATAAACTAAATGTTACAAACATAATGTCATCGGTACTCTTAGGATGAGTGAGTTATCGTGGCAGAGTCCAGCTGAACCAGGCACAACACACATTAATGTATACAATACTGACTCAGAATCTACCCAACCTGATGACGTTCCTGGAAGTCTGGGCTGTCCCGTCCTAGTACTACTAAGAATCAACAGTCGTTGAGGATTGAGTGAATAAGAGAGAGAGTAATTGCTGTGAATTGGTAGAAGGAACTGAAAGAAGAGGAAATAAAGAATGTGGATTAAGGAAGAGGGGGGAGGGAGGATGTCTTTGTTGGTTCCCTGTCTGTGAAAAACTGAAGGGGAACTTCCAGGAGTCTGTAGGGAAGTCTTGTGAACTGAAAAAGCAACGACCACATTTCCATTTCTGTGCAGGCCTTATTAGGTGAACAAGCAGCAGATCAGAATAGTGGGGGGTAGTGGTGATGATGATGATGACATAAAGTCCTATAGAAAGCAAATCTGCCCTGACCCGATAGCTCAGTTGATTTAAGCATCATCCTGATACACTGAGATTGCGGGTTCAATCCCTGGTTATGGCACATACAAGAACCAACCAATGAGTGCATAAATAAGTGGAACAGCAAATCAATGTTTCTCTCTCTCTCTCTAAAATAATAATAATAATAATAATAATAATAATAAAGCAAAGAAGGCAAATCTGTGGTTAGCATTTTCCCCATTACCTATAGCTGACAGAACTTGCTGAAATACTGCTGGCAGCTAATGGGTGGTGAGTTGAGTCACACAATTGGGGCACTGTTAGGGACCAAGTTTCTATCTCTAATTTGGTCAAAGGGACAGCCCCTGCCCCGCCCCCCCCCAAAATAGCATGTGGAGCTAAATGCTACAAATAGCTCAAAGAATATCTCAGATTAGTGAAGGATTGGTGAGCCATCTTGACATGAGGACACTTTGCGTCTATCTTTAGGTACAAAAGGCTTTGTAGGAAAAAACAAAGGGTCTGTTGAATGGAGATAGCTAACCAGTGAAATTGTGTCAACATAGATTAGGACACAGGCATAATTTAGCTTTTCACCCCAACTGGCCCACTCCTGTAGAAACAGTCTGTGCATAAACTAATTTAAAAATTTGTATTTTTCAATTACAATTGACATTCAATATTATTTTGTATTAGTTTCAGGTAAAGGCATAGTGATTAGACAATCATAGATTTTACAAAGTGATCCCCTTGGTATTTCAAACAATCCACCTGGCACCATATGCAGTTATTACAATATTATTGACTATGTTACCTATGCTGTATCTTACATCCCTGTGATTATTTTGTAGCTGCCAATGTAAATTTATTTGATGCATGTTGTTGGGCATAAAATGGGGACAAAAATGTGAAAGCTGGCCTATGAATAAGCCTTAAAGGGGTCCGAAATTAGCTAAAGAGAATGGTATTTCAGGACTAATTGGTGGGGAGAGAAGATAAAAATCATTCAATTTTAATAAAAAATCAAACTTTGAGGCTTTACCCTAGTGCTGTGGAGATTCATTCACAAGAAAGGGTTCTTAGGGTTCTCGGTCTCCATACATTCCCTTGAGGTGTTTCTAGCTTCAGTAGTGAGACAGATACTCACATGGATAGCTCCAGTCCATAGAATCAATAGAATCAGGGTTGGTCTAGCTCCCATCCAGTTGTAGATCATTGGGAATGTTAATGAAACAGACTGCTCTCTTTTTTTGCAGCTTAACTTTTAGACTCTTCTTACTCTTTTTTTTTTAAATATATTTTATTGATTTTTTTGCAGAGAGGAAGGGAGAGAGATAGAGAGTTAGAAACATCGATGATGAGAGAGAAACATCGATCAGCTGCCTCCTGCACATCTCCTACTGGGGATGTGCCCGCAACCAAGGTACATGCCCTTGACCGGAATCGAACCTAGGACCTTTCAGTCCGCAGGCCGACGCTCTATCCACTGAGCCAAACCGGTTTCGGCAGCTTCTTACTCTTGCGGGGTTTCAGAGCCATATTGGGCTACTGGTCTGAAATCTTCCTCAGTAGTTAGTTAATTCAGCTGATCATTTAGAAAGGAAGAAAAGGAGAAAATGAACACTTGGTAAGCATTCACAAGGTGCTTTCTTTACATTATCTTCACATATTATTTCCATTTTACAAATTAGGGAACTGGTTAGGCCAGCGATTTTCAACCAGTTGCTGCAAGAGGCATATTGGTGTGCCAAAAGAATTTTTTAAACATGCAATACCTGACTATTTAGTCAGAGGCACTGACCTCTTTTCCCTTAGATTGTCAAATTAAAAAAAAAAAGATAGCAGCCAACACAACAATAGCCATCTGGTGTGAATGGATAAAATTATACCTATTTTTTATACCTTTCTTTTTGTCAGAGTGGCAAAAACTATATTTTTGGTGTGCCAGAGAATTTTAATAATTAGTTTATGTGTACCATGAGATGAAAAAGATTGGAAATCACTGGGTTAGGCAAAGTTAGGCAATGTCCAAGATCCCATTGGTGAATGGAGGTACTAAGGTATGTTTGACTTCAAAACCTAAACTCTTTCCCCACACTGTGTAGCTGCAGGGCTATCATCTCTAAATTTTATGTCTTAACAGTCAAAACTTAGAGAGGTGTTTATTTGTGTATCAGATGAGCTCTGGCACTTAATAACTTCCCATTGATTCCCAAAGGAACTTGTAGTGAGGTGCTCATCTTTATGGGGGCCTTTATTCTTTGAAATGTGGTGTCATACTTCCTATCTGAAAGGCTATAAAATATTTCGTACTTTGCTCGCTTCTTATAAAAACGCCCATAAGAATGAGAGTAATAAACTAGCCAAGCCCTTGTAACCTCAGGGACCTTCCCTGCCTGCTTCCTGCTGGGTGTTGGTGGAGGACAGAGAACCCTGCCTGGTGGCCATGAACTCCCCACTTGCTTTGGTTTGCTGCTGATTTCTGATTCTTACC